TCCCTAGTAGATTTTATTTTAGACATAGGATCTTCACTCCATAGTCTCTTTTCTAACATATGGTCTCCAATCCTTAGTCTCTTTTTGAACATAGTGTCTTCACTCCCTAGTTGATTTTATTTTAGACATAGGGTCTCCACTCCCTAGTTGATTTTATTTTAGACATAGGGTCTCCACTCCCTAGTTGATTTTATTTTAGACATAGGGTCTTCATTCCCTAGTCCCTTTTCCAACATAGGGTCTCCACTCCCTAATTGATTTTTGTTTTAGACATAGGGTCTCCACTCCCTAATTGATTTTTGTTTTAGACATAGGGTCTCCACTCCCTAGTCTCTTTTCTAACATAGTGTCTTCATTCCCTAGTTATTTTTTATTTTAGACATAGGGTCTCCACTCCTTAGTCTCTTTTCCAACATAGGGTCTCCACTCCCTAATTGATTTTTGTTTTAGACATAGGGTCTCCACTCCTTAGTCTCTTTTCCAACATAGGGTCTACTCTCCTTAGTTGATTTTATTTTAGATATAAGGTCTCCACTCCCTAGTCTTGTTTTTCAACATAGGGTCTCCACTTCCCAATTGATTTTATTTTAGACATAGGGTCTCCAATCCCTATTCTTCTTTTCCAACATAGGGTCTTCACTCCCTAATTGATTTTATTTTAGACATATGGTCTCCACTCCCTAGTTGATTTTAGTTTAGACATAGGGTCTTTACTCTCTAGTCTCTGTTCCAACATAGGGTCTCTACTCCCTAGTAGATTCTATTTTAGACATAGGGTCTCTACGCCCTAGTCTCTTTTCCAACATAGGGTCTCCAATCCCTAGTAGATTTTATTTTAGACATAGGGTCTCCACTCCCTACTCTCTTTTCCAACATTGGGTTTTCACTCTCTAGTTGATTTTATTTTAGACATATGGTCTCTAGTACCTAGTCTCTTTTCCAACATAGGGTCTACACTCCGTAGTTGATTTTATTTTAGATATAGGGTCTCTACTCCCTAGTCTGTTTTCCAGCATAGGGTCTCCATTCTCTAGTTGATTTTATTTTAGGCATAGGGTCTCTACTCCCTAGTTTGCTTTTTCAACATAGGGTCTCCACTCCCTGGTTAATTTTATGTTAGACATTGGGTCTCTTTGCTTTTATTTTAGGCATAGGGTCTCCACTCTTTAGTCTGTTTTTCCTACATATGGTCTCCACTCCCTAATTAATTTTTATTTTAGACATAGGGTCTCCACTCCATAGTCTTATTTTCCATCATAGGGTCTCCACTCCCTAGTTGATTTGATCTTAAATACAGGGTATACCACACCCTGATATCATTGTTAATATAGGGAACACCATTCTCTCGTCCTTTTTTACTACTTTCAATAATAAAGTAGTATAGAGTTTTGTTACAAATAACTCACAAAATTTTCCTAGTGAAAACTGGGGCCTAAAATTTTTGTCCGTTTGTTATTTTTGGTGTCTGAGCAGGTTTTACCTTGAGGCACAGGGATTCGAGATGACAAAAAGAAGAATTCTTGATCTAGAATTAAAGAAAAGAACAAAAAGAAGTGGGTCCAAAATGCAGAAGTAAATGAATAGATGTGGGCTGCTCAAGACATGATTGAAGTCACGAGCATTGCAGTTCTCGTCTTCATCAGAAAAAGTTGTAAAAGAATGATCTAGCCCCTGTAACTAGCAACCTTCAAGATTCAGATCAGAGTCTTCATGAAGAGATAGTCAAGACTCAGGACCAAGTTTCAGAATACTTATAGATAGGAATCTTGTAACTCATAGTTGATAGGCTTATTTAGTTTCTTTCCATTTCTGATTTTTGGTGTAATAAGGAGTTCAACAAACAACAATAGCAGTGAAATTATAGCTTTCCGGTAGTCCTAGCTACCAAAATTTCCAAAACTACACTGACCTGATTCCTTTATAGCCAAGGATATGTAGGCAACCTCTGAAGCAAGGTTCGGTCAAACTTTTTAAAATACTTTCTATGGAGTGTCAAACGGGCAAACATTGCTCGTAACTGCTCCCTTTATCTTTGCTCAAAAACTCTTCATGTTTCTGAGCAAAGAGGGGAAGATGTGAGCACGTAATTTTTGCTCTACCAAAATACTCCTACAAAAATCCACAAAAAAATAGTTTTCTAGGAATTTCTCTTTATTTGTTGGTTTGCATTTAGCTGCATTTTTGTGCATATTTAATATCTTAAAATCATAAAAAAAATCACTAAAAATATTTTTTATATTTCATTTAGTTTGGTTAATTGCATATTAGGATTTAATCATGTGTTCGAAGTATTGTTACAATATAAAATCACAAAAATACATATAATCTTTCTTGGTTTTCTTTTACATCTTAGGTTCAATTAATTAATTAAATTTGGGAATCCACAAATTAATTAGTTTAAATAGATCATTCAGGTAAAAGGGTTAATTTTGTAATTTGAGTTCTAACTGCTATGTTGGTTAAAGTGGCTAACATTGCAAAAAATTAAAGAAGGGAAAAGAAGAGGTTAGCTTGGTCTTTGTTAAAATTGGGCCAAGAGCACAATTGCTAAGTGGCCCAATTTCCAAAATTCACCCCATTTTAGCCCCAAACTCGGTCTGTTTCGATTAATCTTCAGAAGACTCTTAAACAACACCGTTTCGTTACTTTAAATCCATACCCTCAATCTCTTTTGATCCTACAGCTACGAACTGATCCCTTTTTTCCCATTTAAGTGTCCGAAACCCACCCCCACCCCCAATCCCTAAAAGATCCCCTCATTTTTTCCATCCCTCCTCATCTCCCTAATCCTAGCCGCCCGAAATTCCTCCACCGGCGGCCACCACCCCAATCACGCTCAAATTAACACCCTACAATCCACAACATTCCCTCATCCCTAATCTACCATTAGTTCTCCCAAAACCCCCCACCAAACCTTTCGAATTTCAAATCCAAAAACCCATAGAAAACCTAGGCTTCCCTTTTTGATTCTTCAAGACTCGATTCAAGCTGAAACTTACATTAATCGATTGTTCTCAACGAGAACAATCGATTGATGTTAATTTTGGTTCGTGTCGAAGACACCGGAGTCCGTCCAACTTGTTCTCGACCAGTCAGAGTTCCAAATTTTTCACACTCTTCAGGGTAATCATTATCTTTCTCATTTAGTTTAATTAACTCTTAGTATTGCACTTAATAGTAGTTGCTATTTTGAATGTTCATTGTTTAGGTTATTAGTTAATTGCATAATCAGTTAGTTCAATTATATGTTAATTAGTTTAATTGCATAAGTTTAATAAATTAATTGTTAAATGGTTTGATTTTTGCATTAGTGTTTTGTTCAGATCCGTATGTTTCTTTTGGTGTGGATATTTGTAATAATTGGAACTTTAGGGGGTTAAAAGAAATAGAAAAATAAGGGAATCTTATTGTTTGGCTGTTTAAAAGGTTCTAGAATTGAATAGAAAATTTGAAAATATAATAAAATGAGGAAATCAAGTTAAGATTAGGGTTAAAGAGGGTAATTTCAGAAGTTTAAGGGGTTAGAAGAATATGAAGGAATCTCTGGAATTGGAAAGTTATCCATTTCTGTTATGAAAAGATGCCAATTCCCTAATTTTTAAGAAGCTGGCAGAATACTCTCACACCCTCTCTCACTCTCTCATAGGGCACACATATTTCTTATATAAGGGACCTCACATTCACTCACACATACACAAACACACACACACACACACACACACACACACACATACTCTCTCATTCTCTGCAGAAAATCCACTCTCCTTTCTTGATTCACACTGATTTCTCTTGGAGAAAAACACTCTGAAAACTCGATTTAAGTACAAAGAAAATAACAAAAAGGAGAAAAAGTGGTTTTGAACTTTCAGCATACTTGGTTGATATTTTTCTGGGGTTTCAAAGGATTTTCAAGCTTTAGAGCTGCTGTTTGCTGACTTGATTCTGCTGATTTCCATGATGTAGCTGAATTTAGGAATTCTAGACCTCATTTGATTAACTGTTGCTTAGTTCCTACTTTTAGGTATGTTAATATTCACTTGTGATTCTCTTTGAGCTTATAAATGAAGATTTGAATATTTGATTCCATGGTTATACTTAATTTCATGCATTTATTTTGTATTAAATTGCCAGATCTGCTTATCTTTGTTCCTCTTTTAATGGTTGTTTCTGTTCATCTGTTTCTCTAGTAAAATTATTTATAAAATCACTCATGAACTAGTCTACTTGCTACTCATAATCATCTATCTTGATGAAGTCTGTTAGTTATTCAATATTTCAAAAATGTATGAATTTGATGAAGTGGATCGAAATTTGATGCCTACTAAGGTTAATCTAAGTGTTGTTTTCAATTAGAATGTTAGCTGTGTTATTTGATCATTTCAAGTCTAAACGACACATTTTCAGAAGGTTCGAAATCGATTACTATAAACAGACTAAGGAACAGAAGGCTACCATAGTATTCTGCGCATGTAAGTAATTCTGTGTTAATTTAGAGAATGTAAAGAGTTGTTGCTACTGATCACATGGCTGTAGTTTGCAAATCTGATCACTAGTTGGTCAAATTAGTAAACTCTAAAGCTCAAGGAGGATGCTGAAGGTAATGTGGAGGATTCTTTTGATAAATGGTAGTACAGAGGCTTAGTTATAGTTCAGAGCTGGTTTGAAAGATTAGTTGCCAGGGCAGGGTAATGATTTTCATGGAAAGTGCCTTAATTTGCACAAAAAGAGTTTATTGATCATTGTAATAGTCTAAGAATTATTCATGTCATGTAACAAATGTATGAGTCTTCTCTATGATATTAGAATCATTATTTATTACGATTAAGCATGGTTCTAGGTTGGATTTGTAGTGACAATTACGTTTATGTATTTGGACTTGGCTATTTTGAATTGCCCTATTCTGTTTTTTTTTTTTGGACCTGATGATAAATCAGCACATGTTGAAAATCTGCTATACAATCAAATGCATCAGGCCTCAATTGTTGAGAGCCTCAAGAGACCTGGTGGAAAACAGGTCCTACTGGGCCTATTGTATTGTAGCCCAGGTCTCGAAAAATTTTCTGCATAAAACAAAAGATTATTTATAGTTCAAATGTCAGTAAAAAACTTATAATCATTCGATTAGAGCCCGTTTAGTATAATTCGGCATATCCTTACACTGAGTTTAAACCCAACAGCCTTGTTAGTCAAGCTCACGTGGTTAAGCCTTTTAAAAGCTATATGCTTTCACACCAACAAGAGTAGGATATGAAATGACATCAGATGGTCTGCTAGGATCTAAATGAATAAGATCGTTTGTTTAATCTCATAATATCATGCCCTGCAATAAAATTCACAAATATTCGTAGAATGCTTTAGGCGCGTTCTAATATATTATCATGATTGTGTACACATTCGTGTGATATAGTTATGATTTCCACAAATAAATCAAAGTATGCGTTCGCGCGACTTTGGCCGAACAATCCTAATACTAATAAAGTGTGATTAATTATGTACACGTACGCATGACTCGATTTTAGCATCCCAAATAAAACGGATTTACACACATATGATCCGTTTCAAAGATAAACCTATAAAGAGCCATAATTAAAAGTGGTAAAAAGTAAAATACACATAGGTTCTAAAAAATACGTAATTAAACAAATTAATTAATCCATGTATGATTGAAAGCGACCGTTCTAAAATCATGGAATCCGGGAGTGCCTGACACCTTCTCCCGGATTAATAGAATTCCTTACCTGGTCTTCTGGTTTCGCAGACTTTAAAACAAAGTCAAATTTCCTCGATTTGGGATTTTAAAATAAACTGGTGACTGAGACGCCATAATAACTATTCCAAGTGGCCACTCTGATTAAATAAATTATCCCATTTCAAATAATATCACTTTAATTGGAAAAACTCTCTATTCCTCGGGAAAAAGGAGGTGTGACACTCTTCTTAGCCAAACGGCTTGACAAGCTGCTGAATTTGCTGCAATATACTCAGCTTCTGAGGTTGAGAATGTTGTTGTAGCTTGCTTCTTTGAACTCCAAGTCACCACACCTGAGCCTAGAGTGAAAATATTTGTCTAAACACTTCGTCTATCGTCCAATGAACTTGCCAATCACTATCTGTGTACCCGTACAATCTGAAATTAGAAGTATTTGAGTACCAGATACCAAAGTCCAAAGTTTCAACAATGTACCGCAAGACTCTCTTTGCTGCTCCATAATGAATCTTTGAAGGTTGTTGCATAAACCTGAAAATAACACCTACAGAAAATGCGATATAGGGTTTAGTGTGCGTCAAATAAATTAGAACTCCAACCAAGCTTCTGAACAATCTTGCATCTGTGAACTCTTCTCTGTCTTCCTGATGTAATTTTTCATTAATATTCATGGGTGTGGCTGTAGGCTTGCAATTAAGCATGCCAAATTTGTTGAGTAGATCCCTGCCATATTTCTTTTGTGAAATAAAAATTCCATCTTCAACTTGATGGACTTCAAGACCAAGGAAATAGTGCAACAAACCCATATCCGACATCTCAAACTCATTCATCATTTGAGACTTAAACTCAGCAACAAGAAATATAAAGGAACTAGTATAGTATAAAAGATATCATCAACTTAAAGACAAACAATGATGAAATCATTTTTACCTTCCTTTTTCACATACAAGGTGGGCACGTTCTCACTTTTCATGTACCCCTTTTGTTGAAAGTAGATATCAATACTGCTCTACCATGATCGAGGGGCTTGCTACAGGCTATACAATGCCTTTTTCAGCTTGTACACCTTTGTTTCATTGCCTTCCTTTATGAAACCTTCGGGTTGTGCTACAAAGACTTCTTCTTGTAATTCTCCATTGAGGAACGCCGATTTGACATCAAATTGATAAACTGGTCATTGCAATTGTGCAGCCAATGCTAGAACCACCCTCACTGTTTCAAATCGAGCTACCAGAGAAAAGGTCTCTTCAAAGCCAACACCATATTGTTGGGCATAACCTTTTGCTACAAAACGAGCTTTGTGCTCCTGCAAACTTCCGTCTGCAGCAAACTTTGTCTTGAATATCCATTTCAAGCCAATAGAATTTTTGCCTTCTGGTAGATCTACCATCTCCCATGTTCCATTCTTTTCAATGGATTTCATCTCTTCTACCATCGCTTTCCGCCATTCTTCCTTTTTAGCAGCTTCTTCATGAAATAGCGGGTCTGAAATAGCAAGAGCAAATTGACAAGAAGTATATACGTTATTGGGATATTTTAAATTCTGTTTCTTGACTCTTGTCGATCTTCGTAGTGGAATTGTCTCAGCTGCAGTTTCTTCAAGTGTTACAGATGTTTCTGGTGCCATTGTTGAGCTACTGGAGGAACTTGTTGGAGAAGATTCTTGTCTTTTATCAGGAGAGTCTTCAATGGACATAGGAATCTCATGTTGTCCTTGTTCTCTATCCCAATTCCATCTTGTATGTTCATCAAATATAACATCCCTTATAACTGAGATCTTTCCATTAAGAGGGTTATACAATCTATATGCTTTAGACTGAGTACAATAGCCAATAAAAATGTATTTTTCAGACTTTACATCAAGCTTTTGACGAGCTTGTGAATTTACCAAAGCATAAGCGACACATCCAAAAATCCGTAAATGACTTACATTTGGTCTCCTTTCATGCCAAGCTTCATAAGGAGTTCTGTTTATAACAGCCCTTGTTGGTGAAAGATTCAGCAAATAAACAGATGCTGCCACAGCTTCTACCCAGAACTCATTTGTGAGTCCTTTTGCTTGTAGCATACTTCTTGCCATCTCTACAATGGTACGTTTCTTTCGCTCAGCGACACCATTCTGCTCTGGAGTATACGGAGTTGTTAACTCCCTATGGATGCCATTTTCTTCACAAAATAAAGTGAATTCATTAGACACGAACTCTCCTCTTCTATCTATGCGAAGAACTTTGATACTGCAGCTACTTTGATTCTCCACCAAAGCCTTAAATTTCTGAAACTTCTCAAATGTTTCTGACTTGTTTTCCAGAAAGTACACCCAACTCATACGACTATAATCGTTAGTAAACAACAAGAAATAATGACTCCCACCCAAGGCCTTAGTTTGAATAGGGCCACATAAGTTAGCAAGTATTAATTCTAAGCATTTAGAAGCTCTCCCTGCTTTTCTAGTGGGAAAAGATTTCCTGGTTTGTTTTCCATAAATACATCCTTCACATAAATCAAGAGAACCAATTTTTGGTAGTCCAAGAACCATACTTTTATCACTTAGCAATTTCAGGCCTTTGATATTAAGATGCCCATATCTCAAACGCCATAGCTTTGAGTCGTTCTCTACACTTGCAGCGAGAGCAAAATTTTCCATGTTAGAAATATCTAACGGGAACATCTTGTTCGGAGTCATGTTGATATGAACCTTTTTGCCTGACATTTTATTTGTAATAACACAAGCACCGTCATCAAATAAAAGAGAATATCCACTAGTCATTAGTTGTCTAACGCTCAACAAATTGTATCCTAAATCAGCTACAAATTGAACATTATCTAACTTTTTTACTTTGCCATGGCTAGCGTCAACTTCTACCGTGCCTTTTTCGTCAACTTGCATCTCCCCTTTGTTGCCAAGCTGCACCTTTATCTTTTGTGTCTCATCAAGCTCGTTGAATAAAGATTTGGTACCAGTCATGTGATTAGAACAACCGCTGTCCACAAACCATAAGCCGCTTGGCCTATGGTCGGTATCAATACAAGCCATAAAAAGATAATTGTCTTCCTCATTTTCTAGTCTTTATACCAGCATTCCGTTTTTATATGCCCGTATCGCTTGCAATGATGACATTAAATTCCATTCTTTGTGTTACCTTGTTCATTGGACTGCCTGTACCATCATTTCTTCCTCCGCCTCTTCCATAACCGCGACCACGACCTCGACCACCGTGAAATCCCCTTCTTCCTGGACCTCTGCTTGTTGGACGATCATTTTCTCCATATTTAGTGGTTGTGTCTTTTACTTGGAATGACTTATCTTCATTCTTCTCTATCGATCGATTGATTCTCACCTCATGAGCTTGAAGAGATCCCATCAATTCATCGACAGAAAGAGCTGATAGATCTTTTGCTTCCTCTATGGCAGCAACAACATGATCAAATTTTGATGTCAAGCTTCTCAAAACTTTAGCAACGATCGTCTCGTTTGAAATCTGTTCACCATAGGAACGCATTTGACCGACTATTGCCATCGTTCGTGACAAAAAATCAGCAACTGATTCACCATTCTTCATCATCAAGGTTTCAAAGTTGCGCCTTAGTGATTGCAACTTCATTGACATGACCTTTGAATCACCTTGAAATTCTTTTTGTAAGATTGACCATGTCTCTTTCGATGCAGTTGCTGTTGCAATCCGTGAGAAAATAGTCTCATGGACTGCTTGTTGAAGAATGAACAACGCCTTGGCATCTTTCTTCTTGATTTCTTTCAGATTCTCCTCCTCCTCTTCATTGGGTTCAAATATTTCTATGAACCCATACTCCACCAAGTCCCATAGCTCCTGCGATTTGAGCAATGTCTTCACCTTGATGCTCCACCACTCATATTTCTCACTATTAAAAATGGGTATGAGTGGTTGAGAAGAAGAAAATCCAGCTAGTGCTCCCACTGTTATATAGTTTTTTTTTTTAAAAAGCCAATGTAACTCTCTACCTCTCTTTCTCTCGTGTTTCCCCGGAAGACTCACTCAATACCCAATGAACCCAAGTTGTTCGCTCAAATGCCCACAAGACCAGTATATACGGTCGAAATAGATTTCGGCCACCGTACGTTTGATCGAGTTCGAATGGTAAGCGATCGAAGTGAGAGCTCGAGACGAGTTCTGAGGATAGTACATGCAAGCCTCGAGCTCCAAGACCGATCAAGGAATCGGTTCGGTATCATTATCAAGCCCATGGCCAAATCGAACCGCAATGCAAAGAGAAGGTTGTCGGAGATGCACAGACCGATTGACACTCACCCCGAATGTCGAACTCGAACTCAAGGCCGAGAGCTCGACCCAATACTGAGCTCGAGCTAGTATCGGACTCGCAGAGAGGAGCCGTTGCAACCGCACTAAGGGAGAAAATCTTGGCAGGAATCGAGGAAGAGACAATTCATCATGGGTTCTCCACTATATATTTTTTATTATAAATAAAGTAAGATCCCTATACTATAAAGGGGAAAATCCTTGTAAGCACAAGGAGGTTCACACATTGTGAGAAAAGACTACTTCTATTTATTAAAGAATAAATCTCTTAAGCTTATTTTACTCAACATACTCACTCTTCTAGTTCAATAATTTATATCTCATTTCTATAGCCAAGAATCTAAACATTTCCACTTCTACGTAGATTTATGTCAGGCTATATCACATATCCTAAGAACTACTTATAAATTTAACTATATCCAATTTTTCGGGTAAACAGTTCGGCGTCCACCGTGGAGCTAAGGATAACAGTGGTTGTTTGATACAAATCCGCAATACGCGCCAGTTTACAACTCCGAATCAGCAATGGCAAACCCTCGATCCATGGCTTTACCTATCGACCACGAAGCCGGCCTTCAGGATGAAACCAACAACTTGATACCCAGGGCCGGAAGGCCACTTAATGATGTCACTGAAGATCGAGTCGAAGTACCTGAAATTCGAGTCGAAGTACCACTAGATGTCAATTCACAAATGGCTCTTGAGGCGAACTAACGTTCCGAACCGGAAAAAAGCATTCAGGGCGGTACTCGATCCGTAGCTCGAGACGCCCATAACGTGGAGGTGATCGGAGTCAGCTTACGGATGATCTTCGATATGTTACAAGCCCAGCAAATAGCGATTGCTCAGTTGCAGAGCCAAACTCAAGTATAAAGCAAGCCGGAGCCCGATCCGATTCGGGAAATCACCCATAGAACGGAGCCAGCCATAGTGAAGTCAAACGAGCAAGAATTGAGGACTACTCCCGAAATTACCAAATTGCTTGAGGAACTCACAAAACGAGTAAAAGCCAACGATAAAAAAGTAGAAACATATAATTCCAGGGTCGATCAGATCCCGGGAGCTCCACCAATAATAAAAGGGTTGGATTCGAAGAAATTCATCCAAAAGCCTTTTCCCTCGAGTGCAGCCCCAAAACTAATCCCCAAAGAATTTCGTATGCCCGAAATTCCCAAATATAACGGTACGACCGATCCCAACGAACACATCACCTCTTACACGTGTGCCATCAAGGGTAACGATTTGGAAGACGACGAGATCGAATCCGTGTTATTGAAAAAATTCGGAGAGACCCTCTCGAAGGGAGCGATGATTTGGTATCATAATTTGCCCCCAAATTCCATCGATTCTTTTGCCATGTTAGCGGATTCTTTTGTAAAGGCACATGCTGGTGCCATAAAGGTTGCAACAAGGAAATCAGACCTCTTCAAAGTAAAGCAAGGCAGTAATGAAATGCTGAGGGAGTTCGTGTCCCGATTTCAAATAGAACGCATGGAATTGCCACCGGTCAT